CGATGTCTCACACGCACTTTGGTCCAACGAGTAAAAATCCAGTTCATAAAGCTTGTCCCGGCGCGCACCACAAGCTACCAGTTCGGAGTTGTTGAAGATTTTAGCTTTGCCGTCTTCGAACACTACCCGCATGCCAGCTTTTTCCACCTTCAACACCTAGAACAAATTGCACCGTAGCTGCGGAACGTACAGCACATCGTTGACAGTGCAATCGATCGACTTCCCGTCCACCACCGATACCACTTTCACCGTACCGGACTGTTTCGCGACGATCGATTCGCCGTCCTTGGCCACAGCGATCTCTACCGGCTTCTTCAACGGACGTAGCTCGGAAAATAACTCCCGGTCGCGCACTAGGTGGTCAGACGCACCGGAATCAATGAACCACCTTGTCTTCTGCGGTTCCATCCCGCCACTCACGCCAACAAAACTGACACCATTTCAGTCGGAGCTTTCCGCAACGTTCGCCTTCGTTTTCTGGTGACCACTCGGACCGGAACTCTTCTTCTTCTTTTCCGGACACTCGGCCATCTTGTGGCCTTCCTTCTTACAATAGAAGCACTTCAGTTTCTTCGGTTGCTTCACTCCCGACTTCGTACCGGAAAACGCCGCAGTATCACTTTTCGCGGTAAACAATTCCATATCTGCTCCCTTCTGCTTGGTCTCTTCGTCCAACAGCCGGCACTTGACGAACTCCATCGTCAGATTGTCCTCCGGCATCGTCTCAAGAGCAGTCACAACAGTAGCGAAATTCGGTCCAAGCGTCAGTAACAAGTGGCACACTACGTCCAAATCATCCATCACAGCACCTGTGCCGCGGTACTCCCGAACCAGTCTATCGAACCGCAAAAAATGCTCTTAGAGTTGCCCACCTTCGAAACGCATACCAAGTATCTTCCGTTTGATGTGCATCCGGCTGGCAATGCTCTTCCGCTCGAACACTCTCTTCAGCGCGTCCCAAACCTCCTTGGGGGTACGCTTGTCCTGGACATACTCCAGCTGGGAGTCGTGGATCCTCGATATCAGGAGAGATTTACACTTCTTCTCCTGCTTGGCCCGTTTCTCACGGGCGGCCGCCTTCTGCTTCTTCACTTCTGCATTATCACCGGCTTCTTCTTTGATTTCAGCAATATCAGCCAACTCCCGCTCGACGCAGTTGAGCAAGTCGTACTCCTCAAGCAGCACCGTCACGCGAAATTTCCACGCCGAATAATTGCTTCCGTCGAACAACGCCAGATGATACCGATCGTTCTGTATTTCCTCCACCATCGTAACACCGTTACACTTTACTCGGTTCCCGACACTTCCGAAGCGACCTGGGCCCACAACCTAAAGAGGGTTTCGGATGGACCAGGAGGAATAAAACGATTAACAACGCGATTTACAAGAAGCGATAAAAAGGTTAATGTGTATTCTCTCGTGTTTTGTTTACAAGTGATGAAAAATGAATAATGAACACCAGCAAAAGAAACTACAGTGGTGTAGGAAAAAGAGGGGCACCAAAGGTGCAGTGGTTGCCATCTCAACAGTTATGACGACAGAAACATTGAGAACCTGGTCATAAAGAATTGTATAAATACAGCCCATTCGGTTCACTACGTTCCAAGCACGATGATTTTAGCAAAGCGGGTATAGATGCGACTGTTCTAATACAGCTTTCATTCGTTGGTGCGTGCGCTGTTGCCAATACACTTCGAATTCAGGTCTGAACGTACGGTAGCAAGCGGTAGTAAATCACACAATGCAACAGTCAATTCAGGTATAAACCAACTGTCGCGAGGAGGCTGTACTTTTTGGAAGCCTGGTCCCACACTTCCTACATCTTACTCCACTTGGTCTAACCACATAGCACGCTGTGCTTTTCTGCGTCTTGTACCGGCCGGATTTGAGGAAAACACCATTTTTGCGGGATTGTTGTCCCGCCCATTGTACCCTTCCACTTTTAGCGACTTTCTGGATATTGGGTTCGCCATAAAGTTACGCCAGTTCGTGGTTCATTCCTAAATAGAGCTGGAACTAGGGCGTAACAGCTTTTGTGATCAATGACTTCTCTCGATGATTTCTCGGAAGTTATGGCTCTCCCAGGCGAATCGACATCACCATCGATTAGAGAAAGACTTCTACTACCCGATGGATATGTTGGTTTGTGTAGGCGTGTCTTGAATTCCGAGAAATCAACAAGAGAAGTCATTGTTTACAAAGGCTGTTACGCCCAAATTCCAGCTCTATCTAGATTCTCCTACTCCATTCACCATTTTCATATACCCTCTGCCAAAGATGGTCCTAAGCACGCGTCGTTCGAAAACTCCCAGTGCTCCTCGAGCATTGTCCATTGTCATATTTTTCATGCACAATAATTTTGTTTATTATATATTTGCAGTTCGTTTGCAGCAATTTTTGGAGCGATCCGTGAAGGGGAAGGCTTGCCACTTGTATATCCGAACAGTGGACCAAACAAGCCAGCAACCCCGTCCAAAGTGTCATGCATTATTGACAAATTGGCACAGTCCAGTGTGCAGTGGGTCGATTTAAAGGGAGATCTGGAGGCGCAGCGATCACATTGTCATGATTGTCTGGTAGTTCACTCAAAAATGCTATAACAATCACCAAGCTCGCTGTAATGTCACCAAGTGCCTCGTCACCCACGAATAGGCGTCTATGTCAGTGGTCTAATAACTCTTAGCGCGCTAATGGCATAGTTCCCCTGCCGCATAGAGAGTTGCCACAATGCTATTAGGTTAGCTAAGGTCAGTTAACTGACTGGTGGGAAACGGGAGCTTAAGCAATGGCTATTCTTTATGCATTTAAGAGATAGTCTACCAGAATGGATGACTTTTTTTTGTACAATTTTATGTTTTCTGCTGGTTTCGGTTGTGCAAAACATGAGAATTAACTTTTTCAATACTTTCAATTGTACAAAGCATTAGAGCTAGAAACAAGATCTTTTAAACACTACGCACCTTAACTGGTAGTTTGCTAAAAAAAATGCTGCAACAATCGTCAAGCTCGCTGTAATGTCACCAAGTGCCTCGTCACCTACAAATTGGCGCCTATGTCAGTGGTCTAACAACTCTTAGCGCGCTAATAGAGATTGCTAAAGTATGATTGTGTAAGTGATTTGTTTTCATCGGGAAAATTTTCCGCTATGAAGTTTTTTTTCCCGATGAAAACATTTTGCGTATACGTATACTTGACGCACACTACGTACGACAAACGTCAGCAATCTCTATGGCATAGTTCCCCTGCCGCATAGAGAGTTGCCGCAATGATATTAGGTTAGCTAAGGTCAGTTAACTGACTGGTGGGAAACGGGAGCTTCAGCATTGACTGTTATGTACGCATTTTTATGATGTAATCTAACAACAATGGTGTGTAGTGTTTACACGATCATGTTTCTAATTCTAATGTGTTGTAAATATAATTGAAAGCATTTGAAAAGTAAGATTCTAGTGTTTTGTATATCTAAAAACATTAGTAAACATCTACATATGAAAACATTCAAACAACGTTTACTTTAAAAGTTTTGTACACCTGAAAACATCAGAGAACAACAAACACGAAGTACAATTGAAAAAATCCGAACAACGATTAGTTCTAACGTTGTGTACATCCGAAAACATCCAAAAAAGTTTGGTTCCAGCATCGGGAGGCATCTACGTTAGAAAACATCAGAATACATTTACATATAAAAACATCCGAACAACGTTTAATTCTAACGTTTTTTACATCCGAAAACAACCGAAAAACGTTTGATTTTAACATCAGGAAACCTCTACATAAGAAAACATCAGAAAACGTTTACATATAAAAACATCCGAAAAACGTTTAGTTCTAACGTTTTTTACATCTGAAAACATCCAAAAACGTTTGTTTCTAACATCAGGAAACATCTACATTAGAAAACATCAGAAAACGTTTACATTTAAAAACATCCGAACAACGTTTAGTTCTAACGTTTTGTACATCTGAAAACATCCTTAAAACGTTTGGTTCTAATGTCAATAGATTGAAATTTTTGACGTCAGACCGACATAAGAATGGCAAAATTTTGTTCCAAAATTTCTGATGTATACACCATGTTACATTGCTTAAATACAACTAAATCATAATGTTTCCTAATGTTTGACATCAGGCATACATTTGATTTCGATGCTGATGTAGACATCAAAATCAAACGTTGGGCTAATGTAAATTTCTATTCGGGACCAATAAGCCCTTTGGCCCAGACCTTATATAAACGTCATTGAGTCAAGCCGACCAAAATTGTAACTCATTTGGTAATAAACTGACTTGGCACGAACCATTTGAAGTTTATATAGAATTTACTATGGGAATCTAAACTTTTTGTTCATCGTGTTCTAGCCTTTTTGTATATTGCTTAGCTACAACTTTGCGGAAGATACATTTGTTGTTATCTGCAGTGTGATATAGCAGCCATGATTATTGTGATCTATGCTACGAAGCAGAAACACCAATGTTGCCTTCTTGATTGAGCATAATCATAAGACATCAGTGACTTGAATCATTAATAACTTTCGTTCCTTAAATTTAATAGAAAAGTGATGTTGCACCAATTTGTAGCTGATAAAATTCCTGCAAGTACACACTTAATTTTTTTACTGAGATTGGCACCACCGAGCAGCTCGGCATTTTATTTTGCTTGATCTCAGTGAAAAACTTGCCGATATTCAGCTAGCAAAGCGAAGTTTTGCTGATATCTCAGTAAAAATAAATGCCGAGCTGCTCGGTGGTGCCATTTTCGGCAAACAACTAAGTGTGTATCTGATGTATTCTGTTCGGTCGGTGGAGGCGAACCAGCCCAAGGCTGAAAGCCTCCCTAATAACGATAAATAATAATATTCTGTTCGGTATGTCCAAAGTAGTGCCTGCCCTACTCGAGATAAATTGCGTATTAGCTTAAAGGGCCCATCTCATAAATTCAACAACATTACTTCTTCGTTCACGCCGTTCAGTGCGCAAGAGCTGATGTATATAGGCCTTTGACAGCTCAGTTGCAGTGATTGAATAACCGCTGCTTTATTTTCTTTTTAGGTGGTTATCGGAACACGGTTCCAACGAGACTGGAAAGAAAATGATCCGCCAAATCCTGCTGAAAAACGACATCCTCGTCCGGCTGGTGGCTGCCCGTGCCTACAGTCAACCTCCAACGGCTGGAAAACCCGGTGCGGCCACCCAGGCCGGTGCACCAAAACCACTCAGTGGCGACGTTCCAGGGCTGAGTAGCAAGTGCGTTCACAGCAAGTCGGGACCCATCGGTCCGGGTGCTGCCCACGATGCCGACTACAAGGTTCCGGAGTACTATTGCTACGACAAGAACAGTTACTTTGAGGCCGAAATCGAAATGGAGAAATTCCGGTTGCCGCAACCGTCTGCCAAGCAGTGAATCGATGCCGAACAGTAGCAGTGAGAAGTGTTACGGAGGTTAACGTGTATATAGAATAGAAAAATAAAACTGAAAGTTGATGAAAATTATGGTTTTCTCGTTATTATTGTGTTCTTTATCTGTTTACTATTAAATAAAGCCAGATCATTTTAAATGTCATTCAATAGAGTATTTTTAAGGATCTTTATGCGGATATGTATCATACAATGAGAATGCGGTTGAAAATAAATTCATGTATAAAATCACGTTGGAATTTGAAAAATTATTCATAAATTTAGCCTAAATGTTTTCAGCCAAATTAAGTAATTCCCACAAAATTAAATAACTCAGTTAGAACTTCTGAAACAACTCACATTTCCTTTCATTTCTGTTCTTGTCAAATTTTGACACATACATATTTGACATCTCCACATAATGAGATCGTTGCACCATAGTTTCCAAACAATAACAAAAGTAATATACGGAGAAAACGACGTCGCAGGATATATTGCAATTTGCAAGTCGTGTCCTTGGAGGGTCTAGTCAATCAGCTTTGCTATCAAAAGTTGGAAGCATTTATATTTAAAAAAACGAGTTTTGTGCATTTAAGAACACATAGGTATCATCAGCAAACGAAACATATTTGGGCAAAGATGACCAAAGTGGACATACCGATGAAGAATAAGGTTGAAGCGTCGGCCAATTTCATCCAAAATGAAAAAGACGTAGAGGTCCAGGTGCGAGCTCCGAAAAGGGTGTTGCATTTCAGCGATGGAACAATGGAGGAATTCAGTGACGATGAGAAGGACAAGGTGGATGCTGCTGGATCGGAGGGAGGAGTGAAAGATGTCGATGAGGTAGGGATAATCATGTGTGGTTTTGAGAAAATCTCTTACTTAATGATGAATTTTCGTTCAAGACGAATGATTCATAGCAACCATCAAGGTTGTTTATTTATTTTTCAACATGAAAATTAGTTGAGTGGTAATCCACTAGGGGGATGGGATGGAGAAGAGTGTTACGGTTTAAGTCTCGGGAGCATTGTAATGAACTGTGTATTCTTATTGGAAATATTAAAGTTGTAATTCCTTGCCTCACTGAAAACGGTCCTACTCAGAAACTGAGTAGTTTAGTTTAGTTTTCTTTATTAACGAGACTTTCAGCCTTGGGCTGGTTCGTCTCGTAGGAAACTGAGTAACTTTTACTAATTCATATGGTTAAATTTCAAAATATGTAAGCTACTCATGCTCTGAGTGACCTACACACTAAGATTTTATTTCCGTGTTCGGTACATTTTACCGAAATCAGAACAGCTGAACGTTCGGTAAAACTTTGACCTTCATTTTAAAGGCTCTTGAATTTGAAAATAATTTCAAAACATGTTCAACTAAATGATCAAATCTTGTCATTTAAGTGGATATTTAGTATCAAAGTAGCTGAAAAGTAATTGAATTGAATTGCATAAATTTTACCGAACAGTTCAGCTGTTCAGATTTCGGTAAAAATTACCGAAGTCGGTGATAATTTCCAAAAGTGTACGTCTTTAGAAATTTCTCCTGTGTGCTGTTGCATCATAATTCTTGATTATACTTCTTGCATGGCCTTAATTTTCTGCACAGATTGGGCGATTGCATGATTTTCAAAAGATTGTAAAATATCAAAATTAAAAATCTGAAGCAAAGCCTCTGAAAACAGTTCATCCGAAGAAAAAAAAGGTTGCTTATGAACAATAATTATTTAAGGAGAATATTAAGCAAAGCTACTTTGTGTTTTGAGGGTAGCAAATCTCATCGTTCAGTAGCTTTGCAAACTAGCTCAGAGAGTGAGTCACTTTTACTCAGTTATGAGTAACTGTTAGTCACTCGTATGGAGAAATTTATAAAAGCATAGGTCACTCAGAGCGTGAGTAGTCTACGGTTTTAGAAATTTCTCCATACGAATGAATAAAAGGGACTCACTCGTTGAGTAAGATTAGTTTTCAGTGTTCTGAGTGACCTACACACTTAGATTTTTCTGCCGAGATTGGCAACACCGAGCAGCTCGACATTTTATTTTGCTGGATCTCAGTGAAAAATTTGCAAACTGCGTGTGCATTAAACGGATGTATGTATGAATGTTCAGATGGTGGCTATTGGTGGACATTTCATGCTATGGTTTAATTCTGTGGATATGTACAATTTTTCAACTCAATACAGGGATGAGCCAGCCAAAGGCTGAAAGTCTATTTAAAAAGAAACTTGAACCAGCTCAGAATAACAAAGATCTTGTGATCTTTAAAAAACTCAACGCTTTTAAAGATGATCTATTGCTAAGAGAGCTATTGAACAATTGCTGAAACATTCCTTGATCTTATTCATAACTCAAAAACATAGTATGTTTCACCAACTTCGGTAATAGTTTGAACTGTTCGGAAAATTTCAGGCATCTTGATTAATTAACTTAAAAAATTCAAAACCATGCAAACTCCTTTATGATATAGCTGACACATGCAAGTTCCACTTCGAATTCTGGCACTAAGCTCTGCTTGTTGACAGTCATGAGCCTCGGTTTTGAAATTGGAAACAAGAAAAGCTTCGACCAAGGGTTCTGGTGCATTATCAAATATCAGTATTGATTGGTGAGAAGGCGTGTATTTGGAGAGATCCCAGAATTTTTCAAATTACTAGGAACATCACGTTTGAAAGAGGATTCTTGTGAGACCTATATTTTGACTGATGAGTAACATTTGAAAAGAGCTTATCAGCTTTTGTAAACAAAACTTGTAACATCCTTTTCACACGAACTGAACTTTACCCACATTCCTTTATCTTTTTGACTACAGTCACCCCAGTATTATGGGTTACCCACAATTATGGGCACTTTCTTTAGATTAACACGCAGAACTGACTGACCCATAATAGTGACTAGCTGGCCCATCATACTGGGATCTGGGATGACTGTATTTCTTGGTTTTATAAGTCTTAATATCCTTATGAAGATGCTCTTCACAATTGACAATGTTTTATCCCAAGTAACATTGCAGGTTTTATCGAGGTTTTATAGCATTCTACAAGTCCAAATCATGGTCTACAGAACCCTCATAAAACCAAAATTGTTATTTGGGTAGCCACGAGATTTTACAGTGAAAAATATTCAATAAAACATAACTGTTTGGAGTTGGTTGGAAATGCTAACATGAAGCTTTTTTAGTGTGATGATTTATTAGCTAGAGAATGATCTTTAGAAGAGGGTAGGTGGATAGTTCCGTTAGAGTACGGCAGTATGAAAATTGAATAGAAGTTGAAAATGAGCGAAGGACCATTAATGCGACAGTTTTTGAAGATAGACGCACATTTTTGCCTAACCCGTACGATGTACGCGGGGACTTGAAGTATGTCTCCAAGTCCACAGGCTGTTTGTCTGTGATAAAAGTATCCTAAACTAAATAAATTAAATATTGCTAAATTATCGGTGCATTTCATATAGGGAAAAAGTTGGCTTCGGCAATACCTTAACCTATTATCGTCAGGGGGGTAAACAAAGTCCTAGAGCACTCAAATTTGGCCAATAGTTTCTCTGAAACACAATGTATCCATATGCCAAAATTGAGCTCTCAAGGACGCTGTTTACCCCCTGACGATAATAGGATAAGGTATTGCCGAAGCCAACTTTTCCCCTATTTTGTTCTTTTCTGTGTGAATTAATAATAGTCAAATTTTAAGTTTATGTGCATTGATGTACAAGTTGTGCAAGGTACATCTTAGTTGCAAATTTATTGAAATCTTGAAGATAGGTGAAATGGAAGTAATGTCGGCCTAAATGCGACTAATTTGGGCCCATACATAAAATCAGCAATCGCCGAAATTTTCAATAGCGACCAAAAATATCCATTAGTAACGTCCCAATGACGCGTTCATCTAGATAAAATTGATAATAACAGATTTTTAGCGATGGGCCCAATCTTAGATCCATAGGACATCATTAGAGCCATTTCCCCTATATAGCTAATTAAGAGAATGATGTCCAATTCCAATTCCATAATTCTCGCGTAACATTTGAAAACTGCCTATCCTCGTTGATTGATTATCGTCATCGACTTTCTCTTTGGTTTACCACGGCAACATAAACGAATTTCTCGCTAAGGGTACGGTCAGGGAAGACGCGATTCGCGACCAATTCAAAAGAATCTTATTATTTATTATTATTCCTTGCGTGAGTCGCATCGCGTCTCGTCGCGTGTCGTTCGACAGAAGATGATGTTAGCTTGCGCCTGAATCAACACACTGAATGGTAAATTCATTTGCAGTAGGATTATTCGCGAAAGAGAAAATCGATGAAGAGAATCGATCAACAATGATAGGCCCTTTTCTCGCCTTGCGTGAGAATTATCAAAATCTCAGAAGTTTGTCATTCAAATTGTGTGAAATTTGAAGAACTATTTAATTTGATATTCAAAGGTTTTGGTGATGGTATGATTTTAGCTGGTTCTATTGTTTTGACACCCACTGTATCGCAATTAATTATATGATTTGAGTAGTAGCTATACTGAAGATCCGCGAGATGTCGCCCCTTCAGTGGTAGGAAAATCATTTTTGCAGTATGGAGAATATCAGAAAATCCACGATATGTGACTAAACATGCTTTCACAGAAGGAAACAAATAAACGAGTGTTTACCTTATCACCATAGTAATGTTCTCGTGCAATTTTTGTGCATCTAAAACTGCCCATAAAGACGATAATGAATAAAATCTGAAAATTCTCATGCATTTCCAAATGGTTTCCTACCATTCCCATACATTCGAAGTGACTGGCCCTCTAGATGTGGATGATGTCAAAAACAACCAAACATAATTAATTGATCATGTTTTGATGTATTTGATATCATCCACATCCATAGGGCCAGTCACTTCGAAATTATGTGAATGGTAGGAAACCATTTGGAAATGCATGAAAATTTTCAGTTTTTATTCATTATCGTCTTTATGGGCAATTTTAGAGGCACAAAAATTGCACGAGTACATTACTATGGTGATAAGGTAAACACTCGTTTATTTGTTTCCTTATGTAAAAGCATGTTAAGTTACAAATCGCGGATTTTCTGATATTCTCCATGCTGCAAAAATGATTTTCCTATCACCTAAGGGGCGACATCTCTCGGATCTTCAGTATAGCTACTACTCAAATCATATAATTAATTGAAGACAAGGTTGGTAGAGTCCTTGAATGGCTGTGTCATGACTGATTTTCCATGTAAAATCAGCCATGATTGTGGCCATTTGTGGATTGTATTAACTTGTCCTTAATTAAAGTTACAATTCTAGATAGAGCTGGAATTAGGGCGTAACAGCTTTTGTAAACAATGACTTCTATAAATGATTTCTAGGAATTCAAGGCACTCCCACGCTGACCAAGAAAACCATCGGATAGGGAAAGTCTTTCCCTACCCGATGAGGATATTGGTTTGCGTGGGCGAGCCTTGAATTTCAAGAAATCATCAAGAGATGTCATTGTTTACAAAAGCTGTTAGGCCCTAATTCCAGCTCTATCTAGAATTTATCCTAGTAGACGAGCCTGAGATTGAACCCACGGTAGCGAGCAGAAGTAGAAACTCGACGTACTCCCTGAAACCGTTCCCTTCACGATCGACAGATATAGATGTTTTTTTTTTTTTTTTTTTTTTTTTAAATCAGATTGATAGTCTGAAGTTATTTCAAGAAAAATAATTCTTTAAATTAAAACCAACAATTCTAACAAACGCTTAAGCAGATGAAATTTCAGTTAAATTTGTCTTAATTTGGTGATGTTATCTGAGTGCGTGATGGAAATCAGAACTTTTTCGGCCATATTTACTCCCATAACTACAGACTTCAAAAATGTCCAAATGAAGTTTTGCCAAACATCTATATTTCTAACTCATCCTCTTACCTCTTCCAAACAGTCCAAAATGAACTGGAGCGACTGGATGTTGCACAAAACGTGCAGATTGGGCAGCTCGGTTCTGGCAGGGTGCGATTACGTTGGTGAAGGCCTAGCTTCGTTTCTCGGCATCACTACACCCAAATACAGTTTCGAAATCGAAGAATTCAAACGAATGCAAGCGGAGCAAAATGCGGAAGATCATGCGATCAAGAATTTTGTCGAGCAAAATCGACCGACCAGTGGAGCCGGCGGAGCTGGTGAGCCATCGGAGGAGAGCAGACCAACTGCAACGACGATGGCGCTCACGACGACCAATTCCGTTGAACAGAACGCGGTAGGCACGCGCGTTGGAATTACCAATGACATTGAAAAATACTAATTTTATAACTTATTTTTAATGCTGAGTAGATTTAATTTAAGACACCAAATGAGCACACATTTAAGTCAGTTGTAATCATTTAGTTATAAGGAAACAGAATGTAGAAATTATATATTTATCGAAAAATGAATATATGAAGGACAGAGCAATTTGCTGGCAAGCTGAGCATGATATGTTTTTCAGATGAAATATTGTAAATTATCTTTGATATGAGTATAATAAAGTTTTATTGACTACTTATGAAGCATTATTTTATGATTCAGTTCAAGCAAAAGCCATGATTTTCGTCAATCTTATCATTTCTTCATTCACGAATCTAAATACTAGGTTGACCACGCTATACTGGAAAGTTCGGCGTTTCTCAGGGGTTCACGTCGTATACACACTAAGCTTTTGTTTCCGGGTTCGGTAAATTTTACTGAAATCAGAACAGCTGAACGTTCGGTAAAACTTTGACCTTCATTTTAAAGGCTATTGAATTTGAAGATGTTTCAAAACATGTTCAACCTTGTTTAAATGATCAAATCTTGTCATATTAGTGGAGATTAAGTGTCAAAGTAGCTGAAAAACAATTGAATTAAATTGCATAAATTTTACCGAACAGAGCTATTCAGATTTCGGAAAAAAAAAATTACCGAAGTCGGCGATAATGTCTAAGTGTGCATACGCATACATTAACAATCGTGAACTTTTTGAGATTTCATAACGTACATATCACCGTTATAACTGAAACGTTCCTTAATCCTTATTTCATTTATCAAAAATATATCTTGGTGGAGCCGGTGGTGGCGTTGTAATCATATTTGTTCGTAGACGTATCAAACATCATATTCTTTCTTCTGTAGAATCAAAATTTGGACAACTTGCTGCCTATTTGGCATTCCAATGCGTAGGCCAGAAAATTTATTTCAGAACTTACCCGTCATGATTTTAATGCAAAACATTGCTCATGGAATAATGCTCAAAGCAATTCCAATGGCAATATTCTGTTTGATGATTGCACTATGCAGGTTATTGCACTATTCAATATCAAAACAACCCAACATGCTGTTCTTCAGCAAGAAATCCTTCAACTATTGATTTGGTCTTAATTGATTCATGTCAACTTTGTAGCCAATTGGTTACCAATGCCCTATTTTGGCTCTGATCACCTTCCAGTAACTTTTGAAATATCCTAAGAAATAATTTCTAACAACAGCTCTACTTTCAATTACCATTGAGCTGATTGGAAGCAATATCAAACATTTATGGAATATAACTTTAATCCAAATATTCCTTTGCAAACCAGAGATGACGTTAATTATGCTCGTGACGCAATAAACAATCACAAACATTGCTTCCTTAAACAGTAATGCTGTTTACGCTTGGATTGTCAGGTGAAGAAAAGTTAAATCAGAGACACTTTTATGCATTTATTAAACTATTATTCAACTGCGGGAAATTTAACCCGAAAACAGAACGGAAGACAGTATTGGTTGTTTCTTTAGTTATTGTTTTCATTTTTCTGACGAAGCATGCATCACACACATATATAGATTTTTATTACATACATATCCCAAGCAACACACAAGTTCTATAACAGTTTATATAAGCCTTTTATAACTGAATATGGTGGTAAAGAAGTTTACTCAACAAAATTGCATAGAGTTGTTACTTGGGATACATGTCGTTGCATGAGATTCGAACTATGTACCTTCGAATCAGCTATCCTAGAATACATCATATGGGCAGCTCAATAATCAATAAAAGCTTGCTTGAAAATGAATACCTATCAGCACTCCCGGTTGCAACTCTACAGCTATATCTCTTTCAACGTGCAATGGGAATGATCAATTCATTCATCGTTGTTTTAAATTAGACCAATTACACCACTTCACCTCTCCAATTTCCAAGGAAAGAATGATGGGTTATATTTTCAACTAGATCAGTAAATTCATTGTCTTGAGTGATGCGATCGATGATTGCAATTTAAATTAATTAGGTGAATGACACAAATAAAAAAAGGGTTGAGCTTGGGATTGAACTCGCGAACAGCAACATTGTAAAGCAATGCAATGAAATCTAATAATGGAGCTAGAAAACATTAGACGTCGATAATAAAGCATGTTATTAAATCAATTAAAAGGTGTCAAATTAAAGCGTCGATGTATGTGCAAATTGCACTTATTTAGTTTATTATTAAATCAAACTTCTGGTGTTGAATTAAGAAGACAGTCAACGATTTTAATGAGTAAATTAATCAGATCAGAGCAAACAGCGGAACAATGCATTGCAATGGTACAACTATCGATCTCAATGAGCTTTTTTCAGCTCATAATTCGCCAACCCGTTTTCTTCAGCATTGTTCACTGTACAGCAATTATTAAAAATATACGTTTATTTGTGACTCTGCCTTGTTTTTTTGGGGGAATCTCTGATACTACTTCTATAGTTGATACAAGAGCTGCCTGAGTACCAAAATGCGAGGTTAAATTCGATTCAATTATAATGGACGACGATCTTCAGTTCTTGATCCGTCTGAAAAATGTCCGTAGGAGGCAAAATTACACTCTAAAAGATTTTCGAAGAGATTCCAACAGCCGAGTAGTTCTGCAATTCGTTTTCCTGAGATTCAGTGAAACAATTGCCGAGACTCAGCTAACAAATAACATTTTGCTGAGATATCAGCTAACAAACAGTTATTATGTAGACATATCAGCAAAAGTAAATGCCGAGGTATTCGGCTATTGGAGATTTTACCGAGCTAGATTAAGTGTGTAAAAAACACGCGATTCTGTCATGAAAGTTGTCTGGCGGGATTTGCAAAAACAAATTAAAAAGCGATTTTCTGCCCTGAAGAACAAAACTTTTAAAATAATGTTTCGAGATTAGACCCGAGTTCCAAACAATTTTGGAAAACAACAAAAATTAAAAAAAAATCCAGCGTTTAAAGATGGTGGAAAGATTTTGGTCACAAATTCGGAAAATGGTCAGAAACTTGCTAAACAGTTGGAGAATTCCCATAATTTCAGTTTGAATTTTATTAGTCTTATTGAAAATCAGGTTGCTCGGAATAATCGGAATATTTTATTTAGGGAAAATATTTTTGAAGATTCCTGGGAACTTTATTTGAACGAAGTAAGCTACAACTGAAAAAAAAAATATATTGAAATATGAAAGCACCAAGTGAGGATGGAATTTTCTCTATCCGCATCAAAAAACTCCCAGAGAGTATTGTATTTCTTGGTAATATTATTTCACAGATGTTTTCATTTGGCATACTTTCCTGATAAATAGAAAAATGCAAAAGTTGTGCCAATAATAATGAACCAGCTGAAGCTTCTAGCTACCGTCCAAAAGAAAATTTGCTTTCTTCAATATTTTAAATAAAATGATGCTTCACATCAATACGAATGTGCAGATGAGCAGTTTGGATTTCTCATGGGCATTCAACTACTCATCAACTCATCAAGAGTTGCAAATTTAATTCGTTCAAACAAATCTGAAGGCTGCTCAACTGGAGTTGCTCTTCTAGACATAGAAAAAGCATTCGACAGTGTTTGGCATGAAGCTAAATTGAAGAAGTTTAATTTTCCGCTCTATACCTATTATGAAATTAGTTCAACATTATTTAACTGACAGAACTCTGCAGGTAAATTATTAAAATTCCAAATATGATCGACTACATGTTAGAAGAGCTGGAGTTCCTCAGGGTTGCATTCATGGGCCTATATTGTATAACTTCGGACCTGCCTGATTTGCCTCAGGGTTGCCACAAATCTTTGTTCGCCGATGACACATGTATTTCCGCTAAAGGAAGAAGTATTCGTGTTATTTGCAGCAGACTTCAGAAAAGTTTAGGTATTTTCTCTTCCTCTTTGAAGAAATGGAAGATTTCTGCTTACGCTTCCAAAACTCCACTTATAATATTCTCACATGAGACTAGAGCTCCATTTTCGAAACTTAGTAGTTTAGTCATATAGTCACTCTGAACGGAGCTCCAATTTCTTGGTCTAGTCAAGTGAAATATACTAAACTTGACCAAAAATTAACGCATCCAAGCCAAATGTAACAATGTAATGTATTACTTGTAAGCTAAGACCACAGTTAAAACATTTCGGATTAGATTTAGTTTTCACCAGTAGACATAACCAGTTAAAATCATTGTTAGGATCCACTAAAGACCCAATTAATGTTTTAGGTAAAGCAGGTGTATATAAAATAAGTTGTAATTATTGTAACAAACAAACAACGGAATTCAACTTTACTCAACAGTGATTAAGGACATGGCTTTTCAAGTTACTACCTAGGACTCATCAACGAGTAAGCAGCGGAGTACCTAGTTTTTCTTCAGTCGAGTATTAGTACAAGACACTGAAGAAGTCTGCACATTGTAGACGAAATACGCGTATCTGTCAAGGATAAGCAAATAAGGTAGTGGAATTAAATGGAAATTACTAATCCTTCTCTCTCTCTCTTTATACAGGTATTCCACTAAGACGCCCACATTGATCAGGATACCACAAATCCAATTTTTTGGAAAGTAAGACTCGCAAAGCGATCCTACAATCTCGTTCTAATCGACAGGTAGGAAACGCTCCACGTTCCCGATTGTGGTATATAGAGTGGAATATTAATGAATAAAAATTATAACTTTATATGAAGGTAAAAAAAATAATTGCGCAATGAAACACTCAATTTGAGAAAAATATCGTTGGTGTGAAATATCGTGAGGGGAAATCCCCGCACAGCTAGCAGCCAATAGAGAAACGGATGAAAATAACGTAGGGTATAAATACGGGCTATCTTAGCTCGTAGAAGGTAGGCAGTACCAGCGTACTGAGCTGCCTAACCTGAAGACCAATTGCAACCGTTTGAATAAAATCATCCAAGCCAGGATGATGGATCTCAGAAATATCGATTTTGCAAACAAGATTCGCTCTCTCCCAGATTGTGCTAAGCCATTCTGGAAAATGGCAAAGATTTTAAAAAATAAGCCGAGGTCCATCCCTCCCCTTTTCTCTCCTAATCAGAATTCGGTTCCATCTTTACTCATAACCCCAGTGGAAAAGGCCAATGCAGTATTGGAGGCAATGTCTAGAGTCGCTGCCACCCCCCGTAGTTGTCCCTGACGAAAGAAGAATATCGGCTGATGAGGTGATAGCAGCGATTAGATCAACCAAGAACATGAAGGCCGCTGGTGTCGATGGAGTGGTCAACCTCGAGTTGAAAAACATGAGTGTTGACTTCTTCGAGCACTTTGCAGCGG